TGTGTGTGTGTGTGTGTGTGTGTGTGTGTGTGTGTGTGTGTGTGTGTGTGTGTGTGTGTGTGTGTGTTTCTGCATACTAGTATTTGTGGCCAGCACAACATAACAAGGCCTAGTTGGCTTGTGCTTTTTTCGCACTCTCTATATAAAGCAGAGGTTTGGGTGTTGGCATATTTTTGGCTTGTTTTTAGGCTATTTTATAGGGCCTTCTTTTTCGCGTATTGTACTGCGTTGCACTTCCATTGCACTACACAAACACCATGCTTCACCTGAATTAAGACGTTGAGATTTTCCTCTTTAATTAAATCTAGGATGGCCACGAGTAACCGCTGGGAAACAAGAGGATGACGACACAAAAGACGTTGGTAGAATTACCCGCCACCCACCTACATTACGTTAATATTCTCAGAAATACCTCCCACGGCAAACCTTTTAATAGAAAAGAACACCCTTTTGCGTCACGCGTGCGTCACAAGTCCGTCACACCTACGTGATGTGGGCAGAGAAATGGAAAATTCTCGGTGGTTTGCCCTTTGGCACACAAGCCATGTGTTCTATGAAGAAAATCAAAGTTGAAAATTTATAACTCGGAGCCAAGAGAATCAATGTAATGTTTTTTTTTATCGTAATGACTTTATTCGCAAACGCATACCCGAAGGATACATGGGAACACACACAGGTGCAACAACGTAAGAAATGTTTAAAAAAAACTGTCGTTTATAGATCTATCTGATGATAACAAACGGCGTGGCTGCGCTTGGAGTCCCATTTAACGTAGAATATGTTTTAAACACAGCCACAAGATGTTAACTTAACCCGCCAACGTTTCGGTAGTTAGGGTAATGATGGGTGCTTCCACTGCGCACTGCAGCTAGATGTCGCTGCTGTTAGAAAAATGAGATTCCAAACTTGACCCTCTGCCGGCAGGCTTTAGAAAGGGCAGCTTTGACTGCTTGTCATACCTTTGTAGTTAAAAAAAAAGGAAAATTTTTGAATGCATATTTCGTGATAAAACGTACTGTGGAAGGAGCTTTTTAGTGCCTGAGTGGTCGAATTCGAAAGACTCTAATTCTTCAGCTTGCCAGTACCTTCTGAATATGGCTGGTACCGAGGCTATATCATTAGCGACCTATGAAACCTCAAAGTTTATTTCCGCAACACTTGTACATAGCGTTAACAGTGCCAAGGGCGCGCCAAATCCAGGGGCCTCTCAAACTAGAACGCCTTGTGAAGTGCTAGCACCGCAAGCTTCTGGTGATTAAGAAAAAAATATTAACATGCATCACATCGTAATGATTGGTCAATGTCATCTGGCTATATGATAATACATTTTGCCGCTCTGAGCCGTACTCCTTTATCGGCCCAACTCTCCTGGCATGTTATCTGTCTATTCGGCAGTTTTCTACTCTTTCCGGCCATCTCTGAATCTCTGAAGTCTGGAAGAGGCTGTGATACTAACATAATCTCCAAGCAGATCCATTCGGAGTAGGGGACGATCAAATTTATTGGCCACCCTAGTTACCATTTACCCGTGGACAGGCGGCCAATGGTTGGTTACACAGCCAATATATAGACTCCCCTTGCCCCTGAAAATCTGCTGGGAGATTTAATACTCACATGCCCGGGTACAAATACCACTTGCCGCCCCCTCCCCCATACATCAGACCACCTGTCAGCGACTAACCAGATCCGTGACATTGTCTCCTGATAGCTGCCGACTGCGGTTAAGGCCACGACCATGACCTAACCCAGGGACCAGGAAATGAGATGAGGGTCGGGTTTCCAGCTTAAAAGAACGACTGTTCGTCTGTGAGCCATTGGGTGTCTGTATGTCTTTTTCCATGATGCGTACGTAGCGAGCCGTTTCAATTCACCGTTGATCGTAGAAGCCGAGGTCACTTTTGTAAGGAAATTCTTCATGAAGCGTAATTGGTCGATTTAATTCCACGTAGCAGGTTATTTGTTATGTTGAATTTACCCTTAGCGTTATGAAAAAAAATCGTATCGTCAAGCTGAGCTCCTTGGTATCGCGTAGTCGAACTCCAGATTGTCAAAAAATTATAACGGAGCGGCCATGGCCCGCAGACTAATTTTAGCAGATATATAAAAACAAAATTCCAATGTTATTGTTTTCCAAATGCTCATACAAGAACAACTTAACCGTTAATTGTTGTCGGCCTGCCTGAATTTACTGTTAAGCGTTATTAGCCGATAACCGATAAATTTACCGATAAAGCGCTGCTAGGATCCCCGCATGCAGACCCTCTCAAGTTAATCGTTCAGCGATCGTCCTTCAGACGAATTGTGTGTAAAAGAATCGCCCCAAAGGACTAGAAGTCCTTGTAAAAATGAGATCTACTGTAGGGTAATGCGGCATATGATAGTCATTAGGCAGAATTAAACACAGCTCAATTGCCAGAAGTAGCCTCTTAAATAGCGCGATGACGCATGCGGCCTTGTGTTTGTGGCCATCGTCATGAATATAGACCTGAAGTGAAGAGAATGAAGTCAGAACGAAGAATGAATGATTGATTGATTGATTGAACGATGAATGAATGAATGAATGAATAGATGAATGACTGAATGAATGAATGGTGAACGAATGAATGAATGAGTGGCTCTCCTAAATTGGAGGCATAAAGAACGGAAAGGAAATTAATATGAACGGACGAATGAATCCGTAATGGTGAATGAATGAATGAATGAATGAGATAGGTTCACAAACTTATCGACGTAAGTTTACGAACAGATACATGGATGGCGCACTCAACTTTCCAACACGTATCGTTGACACCACATATGACTGAACATAGATACAAACACAAATCCAATGAAAAATTTCTTATAATTCTTTCAAGATTTCAGTGATTATTGCCCTTGTGATTAAAATGATCTATTTTGCGTGTGATAATTCAGTCGCGAAGGTATGTTAAAATTATGTCTTGGTTAAAACCCATTTAAAAAGTGCAAAAAAAAGTGCAAAGTTCTGCAAATGCAAACAGGATGCAAACAGTACTCCCGTAAATGAATTACCAGCCACCTCTGAATCCTGGTAGAGGCTAACTAGTACTCTAGTAGGTTTGGGTTTTGGGTTATTTTCTGGGGTATTTTTGGGCTTTTTTTATCGGGGTTTCTTTTTTGCATTGGAATGTTTTTCACCCAAAACCCAAACCTCTGCTTGGAGAGTAACCTTTTAGCTGACTACCACGTGGATCCGTTAGCCAGGCGGTGCCATCTTAGAGGTCAAAAGTGTTTGTCAACACCCTTTAGCAAAACACGCATTATGAATTCCTGGGAGATAACGACCAGATGCCAAACCACTACTCTCCAAGCAGAGGTTTTTTTGGGCTTCGGCTTATTTTTGACCCGTTTTAGGCGTTTTTATCGGGCTTCATTTTTACCTCCATGAAAAATGGAGGTAATATTTTTGGTGTGTCTGTCTGTGTGTTTTTGCAACTTTGTAGTCAGCATAACTTGAGAAGGCCTTTATGGATTGTGATGATATTTGGTGTGTTGGTAGGTCTTCGGAAGACAAAGGTCAAGGTCAAATTTGGGCCTCCTGGTAGCTGACCTTGTTTGAACCTGTATCTTTTTTTCGATGGCGTGTTGGATACTGCTCTGTGAATAGTGCTGTCTTGAGCTGTCTTGCAGCCATCAAAAGATCTGCTTGGAGCTTATAAATCCCCTATACGCTATGCTGGAAAGCCCACCACCTACATGTATATGATATCCGTATTAAATGTCACACCATGAAATTTATTTTCTTCGTTCTCGTCATAGTTGACATCTTCGTTTTTTTCAGACTTGGAAAATAAAAGAGATTATCCATATAGGTTTTTTCTGAAATGCTCGTGTTTTGGCAGCAACAAGTTAATTAGAAAAAGTCTTGTAGTGTCATGTTCCGAGCTAAGTTTTGTAAAATTTCATTCATCAATGTACTAGTATTAAAGTTGAAAATTCATTGTTTGACATATAGGCCAGTCTAGTATGTTCATAATGTTGATCTTGTGGTTTCTGTGGTAACATTTGGGCTTGCCTTTTTCTCTCTTCTTTTGCTCGCCTACCCCAGATTTTCTGCAAAAAAAATCTGGGAACCAAGATATTGAATTGACGTGGCCTAAAAAGACGTTTACAACTTTGTAAAAGACAGCGCACAAGTCACAGTTAATACCTCAAAATTAGATGTTTTGAAAGTTCAACCGGCACAAACACGAAATGTATATAATGTGGGGAGGTAGTTTGCTGTATATAGACCTTGGTTTCCTAGATAGGTCCGGGAAACGGAGAATTCCTGGAATAGCCGGAAGTATTTTGGCGAATTGTCGCGTGGGTGGAGTCAGAGCAAACAGTGCAGTATGAACAAACAAAAATGTATAATACGCAATACGTAAGCGTACGCGTGTTTACTAACTAAATTAAGAACCAATTCTATCATATATCTTCAACAAATACAAATAAGTGATAAGGAACTTGTTTAAGCCTTTGTTTATTCATAAAATACGGGTACTCAAATTGGCCTATTGGCCGCTATTTATTGACGATACAGGTTGCATAATTGGAGTACTAACAAAGCCATATATAAACATCGTATTCGTAATATAGGAGCAGAAGCCATGTATTTTATCATATTACTTTATATTACTTTATATTACATTATATTACTTTACTAAGTTTTGTTACTATCTGAATAGATTACCTACATGCTGTATCTGTATGTATATATGGTTTGCGTCACTGTCTTTAAAAAAATACTAAGTACTAGTAACCTGTCCTATTCCTTTAGGGTATGAATGTACTACAAAGGCTATAAATTATCATCGTTGTTGTTACTATCAACATTACTACTGGATTCATTATCATTAAATCAAAGACTCATATTTATCCAATGGATTATCCATTTTTTTCAGTTCCCATGGTCTGAAATTATTGGGGAATCTCTCAATTTATTTTAGACACAGTACAAGCCTATTAAAATCAAGCAGTTCCCAGTCACTACAAGATAGTGCCATCCTGGTAAAAGAGCACAGGAATATACTATCATAAATATAAACAAACAAAACAAATAGGATGCAAGAGAAATTAATGGATGAATTGTTCTGCCCATAGACGCCCATACAGTTACAGCAAACATGAATATCTTGACTGCTTGCCCGTTTTGAAAGAAAGCACTTGTACAAAATAAAGATGGCTAGAATTTCTAGAAGGCGATCGACGAAAACTCACTTGACGTTGCGTTGGCTGTTGTGAGTGGGCTTAAATTCCACCCTATTCGACATCTGCGCCCTTGTACATTTGTAGTGTCTGCCAACCAACGCGTGGAGACTTGAGGCTATATATACACGGATGTTCCTCAGGCACGTGTGAAGCCAGCAGAGGCTCGGTGTTAAAGTGGAGGCACGTCCTACCTTCGCAGCTCAGGTATCACGACACAGAAGAAAAACTGCGTGCGTGGAAGTTCCACGTATCACTCAACGTGGCCATCAAAACAGGCGTGGGTACTAGTAATTCCACAGGTAATTCCACACTCCAATCCTCCCCATCTGTTAGAATGTAAAGCGGTGCGGGATGAAATTGTGAGAAAGACGGAAAAAGAGAAATTCTAGAGCTTTCTAAGGGTAGATCTCGAGGTGATCCAGATCACCTATGGTCACTCGTCACGTCTCACACTTGGCGGGCCGAGCGCTGCGATTGGTTCATCTCCTGCGCATGTGCAGTTACTGCAGTCAAGATGGCGACGGCTTTTAAAACTCTGGAGGTAGGCACCAGACGGAACCCAGATCTTCAGCACATTTTTGCCACGTTTGAGGTCTAAGCTTTACTGAGTTTGTTATGTGTTCGTTTTGTGCTTGATTTCCACTTTGATTGTCGATTCTGGACGTCCGTTGGATGCGCGAGGGGGACACATTCTGGGCGGCGGTAAACAAAACAGGTAGGATTCAAGTTGAGTGGCACTGATGCTGATGAAGTCGGCTGAAGAATTTTCACCAGGAGTCCGCCAGATGTCTGTCCCCGCCCCGAGCCTCTTCCCCGCCAAGCCCCGGGCCGAGTTCCGACCACATTCTCCTGGCTGAAGTCTAGCTGGCGGCTTGGTTGGGAAGGGCTGGGAGGCGCCGGTTGCGCCCAGGCCTGCCCGGGTCTCGGCTCGGGGCAGGCCGGCAGCTGGGGCGGGGTGTAGGGTAACGTCTGGGGTCGCCTCCGTCAGACTTGACCCATTGTCTGGCCGGGGAAGTTTCCTGAAAACACTCAAGGGGCGACGGGCTGGGGGTTTCCTTGGGTTTCGGGAAGTCTAAGCTAGCCGAGGGGGACCGTTAGATTGTCTACACGTTGTCAGAAGGAGGGGACAGCCCTCGGCAGATCAATGCCTCCCGCTATATCCCGAGCTGTGCCGCCCGGTCTACCCTGTATATTTACACTGCATACTTGACCCTGGTGTGACTGTAATTTCCTATCCACCACGTAGAAAGACGGCCAGATTTTGTTCTGATGAAAGGAGTTTAGCGCTCTCTCGAGCGTGAAAGTGTTTATACCATTCTGTATATACTTGGGAATATTTGTAAGGATATTTATCTGGGAGCAACCAATGGGTACCCAGGGGGGTGCATTGGTATGTGTGGATAATTACGTTGAACTGAATGATGGCCGACACCGAAGTTCAGTCCCAAGCCCCAGACACACAACAGTGTACGTCAAGACTAGGAAAAGAAAGGCTTATTGTTCGTCGCAGGGGCTGCTACTGGTTTAAAGTAGTTCACCACTGTTGAAAGCCAAAATGGAGGGAGTTGGAGTTGCCCCCTAACACTCTATACCTCAGGGATTTCTGCTGTTGTGATCTCCACATGAATTCTGGCACATTCGTCCTAATTGTAACCAGCTCCAGTGGTCAAACAATTTCACCAGAGGCCAATCGTTTTCCTTTGTACAAAATTTACAGTGTGTGAATTGATCTCCTTTTCTTTTACATGATAATATAGAAAATATGTCACAAAAGAATTGGCCCTCGTCAACTTTTGTTGCTTTTTTTCTTGGCATTTTCTCAGGGAAAGATCAAGAGATAATAATTCAAAGAGGGGAAAATGTGCATTTGATTTGCAAGACTGTTGGGGAAAAGGGACTGAGGCATCTAAAGAAGTTGGGAATTTTTAGGGTGGCGAAATGAAATATCTTGTCATAATCTTACAGTAACCAATGTAGATATTCAGGAAAGTTCTTGAGGTAGAAAGTTTGGCAACGAATAGCTTTTCATAAAAGAAACCTTGTTTATATAACCTAGCTGCTATTTGCATTGTCCTGCTGTGAATATTTATGATTTTGCATTATTCACAATCCTGTTGACATAAAAGAATGCAAACACTGTCAGTAACTTCAAAGTCCCCAATTGTTCTAAATATTTCACTCAGCATTTCAGTAATCTTGCCAATCACATTTTACAATGCGGCACAAGCCCTCTAGATATCCTATGCATTTATTTCTTGAAAATGAAATACATTTTTCTGTGATCAGAAAAGGAGTCTTTAGTGATGACGTTGACAGAATGACAAAGCACAAGGTTATCGGATGACCTGCAGGAGCATTGGTGAAAAAATTTTGATTGACAGGAAATGAGTGCTGTTTTCAATTGGTGGATAAATACCTTCCCCACACTGTTTAGACAGTCAGACCATACCAGAGGGAACTCTCAAGTTTCACATGTCATATGTCACTGTTGGAAAGAAATACATTATTGTCAGTTATTGTGTGGTCTCTCTAAGATTATTTCTGTCAACTCAAAGTTTATATCTTGGTTGGTCTAAACTATGTGTGTCTGGTTTTATTTGCTCTGCAAATGTTTACGTTGGGTTGTTGTGCATTGTCTATAGTTTGGTTTGACACATGGGCCAGGGCATGCCTGTGTATGTGAAGGTATTTCTTTCATGGCATGAAGTATGAATGAAAGGCCGGCCACTTGAAAACTAATGTTACACCCAGAAGTATCATGTTCTTGTCTGACCGCCCTCTTTTGTCTTTGCTTTCACCCTTGTAGCCACTAGTAATCCTGTGTCTCTTTCAGTGAACCGTGGAGGGAGAAGTCAGCTGGCGTGTCAGATTTAAAAGAGGGAGGGGAGCGCAGAACTTAGGAGGACTGACTTGCGTCTCTTTAGTAGACTGAAGAGGGAAACCCTGGGTACTAACTGTAGCATTGCCTGAGATACCAGACATACCTGCAAGTTTTGTACAATCCCCCAATCAGGTGTAGGGTCAGAGGTCGGGTGACCCTGTTCTATTCAGGACCACAAGTTGCAATTGTATCTAGGCAGACTTCTGTTTCCTGGCAATTGGCCCCACTCTAGTCGTGCATGGGACCTATCAGAGGACATGTCATGCTATTATTTGTTACGGCTACTACCTGACACAATAACAAGGGTAGAACCGCCGGGTTTTTATGAGGGAAAAGCTGCGTTGCTAAAACGTTATTTCACCCAGTTTCCCAGTGAAAGGGGATATTGTAGCCCCTGGTGCTAACACAGAGAATTGGCCGGGCGTCAGAACTTTTGTTTAAAGTTTGGGTGACATAAATAAGGATGCTAGGACAGCTTCCTGGGTTGGGGCCTGGAGTTTCCTGGAGGTCGGGGGGAAGGTTTTTCTTGTCGCAGTCAGGAGAGAAGTTGGTATGTTCCAAAATGGCAGCTGTTCCAAAAGTAGGGGGACAGAACCTCAGCGGAAACCTGACCTTTGAATCATCATCGTTTTTCCATAATAATACGCTCTGATTGATGCTGGTGCCATTTCCAATGCTGGAAGTATTTCTGGGGGTAATATTGGCATGGCAAAACTTCATTGAATCGTATGATGACAGGTTAAATCTTTGCATTACCTATTGAGAAGGTAAAGGTGCTATTAAGCCATACCAATGAAATTTCCAGGTTGATTGTTTTTAGATTTATAACATATTATGCTAAAATCAAAGATTCAGTCTAAAGTTTGTTTAAGGGAGTTGATGCAGTCATATATACAAGTTTTCCTCTTACTTATTCCTTAGTTGTCATGATGTCTTTTTGCTTGATCTTTACTTAAAAAGATGCCTGAGAACCAAGGAAATAAATTGGAATGGCCTTATCAAGGCACAATTATTGTGTTTAAGTGGTGTGGTTAGCTGATTCATTCCTCAAGGGAAGATTTGCATGTGGAAGGATGTCACATCCGTAGTTCCCAAACCCATGTTGTTGTTTCCGGGATTACAATTCATCTTTCAGCTAGGCTCTAGAAAAAGGCAGAGAACCCAAAAGAAAGTTTTTAAAACTCCCTATACACTTTTTATATGGTATGAGGCTTTCAAAGGGGTTTAGAACAACTTTCTTTAAAGTTTTAAAATCTCAAAAGCATGTGTGAAACACAGTTACACATTGATGAAGGTTAGAATTAGACACGTAGGTAATTATGAGATGCACTTTGCTTTTCAAAATTTATCCAGTTGCTACTGTAACAATTTCTTGTGCATGTGTAAAACAAGGAGCCACACCCTACATCTGCTTGGAGAATCTGTGAGCTGAGTTGTGTTTACCAAATCTCTGGGGTCCCCAGCCAGTTTGTCTCTCAGTGTCAGGATGTTATGAGTTACCTTACGCTGACCTTTGGTCGCTGGTTTTATCACGTGTTCTGTGCTGTTTGCTTGTTTTCAGACTAGATGATCATGTGAGTATGGGAGCTCGTATCATTTGATTAGCAGCACTTTTGTCATATTCCTTTATTTATGATAGAAGTTGGTTTAGTATGGTTTGGTATGGTGTTTCATAATCATATGCACTACAGTATTTCTTGGTGTGTTAGATACATTTTTGCGTTTCTTCATTGATACCTCCATGATTGTTGATAGAAATGTCTGGATAATTTTTGAGTTATGCAATATTTATGGTAACTGTCAGTCAGCCCCTAGAAAGTAAACAATGCATCAAATTCATTGCCATTTCTTTTGCTAAGTTATAAGTGATGAATATAAATATAAACTTTCATCAAAATATGATATTCCAGTAAGCTCTTTTGGTATATAACGGTGACAGACTAAGCTGTTTATTATTTTGCTGACTGTGCTTTTAGAGGTTATAGGATTAAACTGTATTTAAAGATATAATACACAGTGAGACTGTTTTTACTTTGCATGATCTTCAGTCCAGTACTGGCAGTATCTTCAGGCTTCGTGGTGAAACTTAAAAGTGGTTTGTCACAGATTTAACCTTTACTGTGCAATGGTAGCCATTCGGCAGTGACTTGGTACTGTTTATGGAGTTTTTCAGCAAGGAGAAGGTTGTCTGTAAAAAGAATAATGCTGAATCATAAAATCAACATGAAAATGGATGCAGGGAGTGAAAATTCAATCAGTACAGTTTTTCTCTCACTGTATTTGTACTCTTTTTCCATCTTCTGTCACTGAATTTTTACTTCAAAACATCTGAGAATCAAGCGAATAATTGGTGTGGCCCAACAATAGTGTTACCAGAGCAATTGGTTGTTTGTGTTGTAGTAAGTTGTATAAGGAAGTGTGTGTACATCCTGTGTAATGGGAGATGTGTGTTCTTGAAGGTAGCTGTAATCTCAGTGCTTAGCCTTGAACAGTCTGCAAGTACAAGGTAGTTGCAGGGGTCAGGGCAGTGTTTGGTGTGCCTGTGCCTCCCAAGTATACTAGTAGTACTGGTAGTAATACATAAATGCTTGTTGTTTGTATTCCCTACTACTAGTACTACTACTACTAGTACTAGCACTGGTTTGCTCCTCTGAATGTCTGATTGCTTTTCTGTCCAGTCGTCTAGCCCCTTTGCCATTTTAGATAGTTAGTTTACATCATAAATCATTTGGGGTATCAAATATTATTTGAGTTGGAGAGCAGTTTAATTTTTCACTATGTAAATAACCAACTCAGAATGAACTTTCTCTCTGTCTTTCTCCCTCTCTCTCTGTCTGGTCTAACGTCTGTTGTTCCCGTGTTCCGAGGGTTAGACGTACTTGCACACTGATGCTGGGGCTTGATGGTAGCTCGCCCTTTGCCTCTGTTCTGAACTTTCATGCTGACAATTTGTTCATGACCTTTTCTCAGATCTAAGTTGAGGACCTGAGAAGGGAACCGACACATTTCAAGACTGGAGACTCTCCTGGTGCCGCCGCCCGCTTTTCCACACTTCCGGGGCTTCTATATGATGGCCACAACGCCCAAGGAGGCCAGCCCACCTCTGAATGGCCCCATGATGCACCCTAGTATGAATGGATCGGCTGAGGGGCCTCACCAGGTCTTCTATCTGCACGTGGCTCCAGGGCAGATGTACACCATCGCTACCGAGGATGGCTCCATGCAACAAGTACAAGGTCAGTGTCATCGTCATACTGTGAATCATGATTTTTTTCGCAGTACTTTTGTATGTGTGGTTTTCGTGGTCAGTTCTGTGCCGTGAATTTATCATTACTATGAACAAATAATTTGCCGACTTTCTTTCTTCTGCACCTGCCGCCACCGCGAATATATAGTTTTGCGAACATGTCCATTTTTTTCAGGCAGTGAAATTTTGCTACCATGAATATAAAGTGATTAAAGCCTCCCTTTCTTTTGCTAACTTATGTTCTTCCCTACAGCTTCAAATATTTACAAAAAAAGTTTTTGTACTGGTTGTGAGATATAGATGGTCACTATTACCATATAAAGTGTTGGCTACTACTATGAATCTATTTGTTTAAAAGTATATTGTATGTAAGCTTTGCAAAGTTTGTAGAAAAAACTTCCCCCTCCCCAGCTAGTAGTCTCATCCACCCTTCCATCACACTTATTTTTGTTTACATTCCGTTTTGTCAGATCATTTATTATTGACTTGAAGAAAGTCCTTGTTGTTTCTCATAATATTAAAGTATTTGTACATATTTGTTTATCAATATCATATTTTTAAAGTCATTGATAAAGTCATGACATGGTTGAATGGGAGAAAAGTAATTTTTCTGGAATTTTTATAAAAAGTAAAATCATAATCTATAATTGGCTGTTTGGCTGCTACATTATACATGCTGTACTTAAATGTTGTATAAAGCACTTAAATTGATATGAAATATAGAATTTGTTACAGGCATCTCAATCCTTCACAAAGCACTTATTTTTTGTGAAGAAGCATAATCCTTTCCTCCAGCCATGTTTAGACAACAAGCTAATGCTTTGAAGTTGACATTTAACAATATTTTCTTATCACAGAGACATGCTTTTCTTGTTCACCTGATTTAAGCTGGATCAAAGCATCCCTAAATGTCAGAGTGGGAAGTATAAGAGCACAGGTTGTGTGGTATTTATTGTGAGAACCTTTCAGTTCTTGAGTGGTGTTGGAAAGGTCGGTATAGGAGGCAGGGCCCAGATGGTTTAGTTACAAACGTAATAAACATTGTACAAAATGTATGAAGCATAGGTGGCTGGTGGGTCATTGTATTAGCTAAAGAGTTTGGTAAAACAGTAGGATAAGAATGCTTCGCATGCCTTAAATTCTCTCAATCCTATGTCAGTTAAAAAAGGTACAAGCCATGTTATGAAAGTTCATCTTTTCTGGTAGTTATATGTTTTAGATTAAAACTTTGGTTTAATCACGGCGTAAAGCTGGTGTGTTACGCAGAAGGGCGGTTATACCGGCTACAGAGACAATGGATTGTTCTCACCTCGAGTTTTTGACCAGTCAATTTTTGTCTTGTTAAATGTTCAAAATCACAGACACAGCATTGAAATTTGTTTCAACTACGAATGGAAGGGTAGGTCATTCAGTGGTTGCTCTCTCAGTGGAATAGAGGTATATCATAATAGAATCAAAGTATGTTGAGCCCTAAAAATCTATTGAAACGGCTTGGCTGTATCAAAGACAGACAGCACGGGGAAGTTTACATAAAACAGTGCTGTGCCTTTCCTGTTTTTGCATGTTACTGCAAGGTCAACACCTCCAACCATGGCCCTTTGTCTTTACCCCCCTGCTGGTGACAATGGACCACTTCACACACTTCTGACAATCAACAAACACTTCATAAACAGTTACAGGGGATTTACGTTTCCTTTGTTCAGCACTGCTTTTATTTGCAGGGGTTTGACGCCTAAATGGTCACGATATATGTAGTCAAATGGAGCAGAACATTGGGGATATGCCCAGAAGTTTTCATAGTATACTATAATGTATAGGGAATACAAGATAGCGAGGAATGAATGAATGAATGAAGATCTTTATTATACATATTTGTGCCATTGGGCTGAAGATACGAAAAAGATTTAGTATGATATTTTTTTACTAATATGATTTTTGTATGAAAATATAAAAAATATTTTTAAATGATTTTGATATGAAGATACTAAAAGATTTTAGTATGATTTTTTTCACTATGCAGTCTCTCTGCACTGTCAAGTGCAGGGTTATCATCACAAACTTTTTCATAATTCAATTTTTCATTGACATTACTTGAAAATTTTCATTTCCTCGTCATATTAGTTACAGTGCTATGTGCTACAACTCAAGTAGCAAAATGTGCATGTACTGTTACCAAGGTGATTATTACCATGGTAACAGCAAACATTCTCTGCCATTACAATCCTGTATTACTTGATAGTAAGCTGATACTGGTACCACCTGTAGCCTAGTACTAGAGTTATATAATGGGAAACCAGTTGCTTATATAACCTGTTACCTTCCATGTTATCAGAAGAATGCTGTTTATTGGTGTGTATTTGTTTATGTTTATGTAATAAAGTCCCTGTTAATGACTAATGACAAAATACAAGTTGATAAAAAGTCATTATTTGAAAGCTACACCTATTATGTCTTCCATAGATATAATAAGGTACACAATTTTATATTGTCTTGATTTTCAGTGATGAAAAGTATTCTTGTGGTCACTGAGGTGTTTCATTTTTTCTCATCTTTCTAAGTTCTTTTTAGCATTGTTATATTTATTTTTCTTCTTAGATAAAAATGTCTATTCCTGGTTTAGGTATACCGTTTCGGGACATTTTGTTGGTAAATTGTAAACAAGACAACATGATTGTAGTCACTGCCTTGTCCGGAAATGCTTGTGGCAGGTGTACAACTGATTTTGCATCTTCAGTTGGACTTACAAGTGCTTTCCCCTTCTTTGAAGTGTCATGGCACCCATCTTGAGGGTTTTCGAAACACTTTAAGGTGGTGTTTTGGACATAGCGATCTTGTTTGGAATGCAGCGGCCTTGGCTAGTAACAGCTCTCCTTACTCTCCAAGCAGATGTTAGAAGACAAATATCGGGACGCTTTTCTATATGACATGTTAGGAAGGTGTTTTAAGGCAGTGCAATTTTTAGGGCTTGGAAACACGATTTTTTAAAGTCAACATTCTAGTCATTTATCTACATACAGAGTTGAAACCACAGACACTATCCCAATGTATATTGGTCCTCATTCAGCAAAAATTTCCCAAAATTCTGACGGAAAATGGTTACTGGAAGGGCCCTGGGCTGATTTTTAGGGTACCACCCAGAAAATAAAGGACTCATCTTGGGGCTTGTTTCTGCAGTTGTAAATGCCAAAAGTATGAAATACTGACTCAAATGTGCTAATATGAAACACTATGTATCAATATCACAAAGATTGCCTTATCCACAATATTTCCAGTTTTGCTGCCCCTTAGTCGTATTGTATGCCTTTAAAACAAACATGGAACTAGGATAATGTCTTGATTTTGTCTTCTTACATCTGCTTGGAGATTAGCCCCTTCCTACCTGCTTTGCAAATGGCTAATCTTAGATGAAGAAGTAATTTGATCCTGCCAGTATTCATGTACATTTTCAATGGCTTTTAGGCTAGAAGTCCAGATGGAAGGTCTCTAGCAGTGTAGGGTTTTTAGTAGGAGTGATTCGGTAATATTATCGGCCTTGTTGTACAGCTACCTAGCATGTCTGGGGGATAGAATACCAACACCTGAACACACAGATTCAAAAGGGGCTAGTGTTTGTATGCTCAGCTTGGGTGTCTGTTCATGTGAGCGAAATTATTGCAGAAACTTCAATTTCAAGTTGAAGGGAATGCAGTGGGGAGGTTTGTAGTCAAAAGAGGTTTGTAGACAATATCAATTTAACTTGTTACCGGTAGTTGTTGGATTTTTCAATAGAAATAAAAGAGCTGGCAAAATAAGAATAGAAACCACAAAACCAGAAAGTCAACATACCAGGCAGTTTATTTATATTTCAAACAATGATTTGTAACAGTTTAATGCATTGATATATGGAAAACTGTAACAGATAGAAAGACCATGAAAAAGAGAATGAAGAGAAAAAAAGAGAAAGAACAAACAAAATTAAATTGCTATGGCAAAACTTATTTTGTCCAAGATAATGTCATTGAAGCAGTAAAGTGAACGGCTTCCATCCAGTGTAAGACTTCTACTGTACTTTGTAAATTTGATATTTAACACAAAAAATACTAATCAATGTTGGTAAACACAAGGACATCAACAATATGGAATTATTATCTGTGAACAAAAACAACAGCGCTTGTTTGTAATTAGATTGTTTTCCCCTAAGGACTTCATAATGAAGACAAGGAAAACACTTGCCAACCCTGAGACCAGACTGTAAGGTTTGATCTACTCAGCTCAGGACTCCAACTCTTATCAGTAAAATTGTAAGTGTGGTGGGATCTTTGATACGTGTTCAAGGTGTAGAAAGAACAAGGCCCTAGACTTCCATCCCATTCAAGAGAACCTCCCTAGTCCAATTTCACTGGTCAGTAGAGAGGCACAGCATCCAGGCCTGATGTGGATTCGAACCCAGAACCTCTAGTTCCTGTGTTAACTAGCCTAACCACAAGACCATTAGCCACATTAATCACATGTGATACTGGCCACAGAAAGATGACCAGGGATGACCTGTCCTATAACTGATATTGGTCTCCTGTCCTGTAGTCCAGGGGCAGAGTTCAACCTTCTTCTGTCCATCACTTTGACTGGAGCTCTTCCCTCCACATGCTCATCTCAGCCGACCAAAATTCCGCCTGGCTCCCAGAACTGACAAGTTCAGGACCTAGGCGCGGTGCCTGGACCTTCCTGGGCATGCCCACTTGTTGAACCTGAGTTAAGTCTCCTTGGAAACCACATGGCAACGACCTGTCGGATGGGAGAGGTCCGTCTCCCCAGGTTTACACTCTAAATGTTGGTTCTGAAGGAGGGGAGGGTATCGGTAGGTCCTCATTATCTACATAGCTCAGGTCGGCCAGTTTGTTGTATAATAGGGCGGACAAGATGGTTAAAATTCCTGCCGTAGCCCGGGGCACCCCACTTCTGTTGGGAAACCTCCTTAGCGGGCGGATCTGATTGGCTGTTTGGGTGGATAAA